ACTACCAAAGCAGCTAAAACCAGATCAATTACAATTACAATGACTGCCATAGATGAGCTTGTAATTACTGCATTAATTACAATGATCCTGATTTTACCTCTATCATGACATAAATAGCAATGATGTTTTACCACATTGCATTGAGTTTTTAAAAGTTTTGTTAATCAGTGAACATTAATCAGGCTTAATATGCTGAAAATTCACTCTAGAGGACTGATATAGGTAGGATATTATCAAAGTAAGATTATAGGCACAATTACAACACATACATATATGTATAACCTAATTACAATTACAATTACACTCTGTAATTGTAATTGTAATTATATTTGTAACTGACCACAAGCCTGATGTGGTTACAATCATACATGTGTTTAATAACTGAGTAGACCTAGCATGATGGCTATATAAACCAGCAGCAGTACATGATCAGAGGTACATCTGTTGATCTTTCTTCACAGGGTATCTACCTATTATGGATAAAGCAGCCAAAGTAATCCCATATTGTGTTGGTAAATGGCTCCCATCTGATCAGGCAGTCCTTAACAAATGGCTGCAAGATCTCATTGAAGAAGTTGATGGGAAGGACTCTACTGATGGTGTTGATTTTGTTGATGCAGCAGATGAAGGCCTTGAGATAGTCGGATTAGAGCCACCAGTTAGAGATCTTCAAGTCCTGATAGAAACAGACTCGGAGGTTAACATGTTCTTTCACCAAATGTTTCGACAGATCCCAGCTAAAGATCCAACCGGTAAACCACAAATTACCAACTATCGTCTTATGTTGCGTCTGATAAACCACATCATGACCAAGGCACCAGAATTCAACGAGTCTGGACTAGTTGGTTTTCCCATCAATGCTATTCTAAATTGGCCTATGGGAACCACAGGAGGGTTTGCTGCCTTTTTGAATGACAAAGTTAATGTTCATTTTAAAAACATCCTCGATCACTGGGCCATCTTTCTTAAATCTGAAGCATCTCGCTATGTCCTTAATAAAGGAGAAAATGGCTGGCTAGGAGAGGAAGCCATGAGGCACATGGAAGATTTTGTCACTAATTTCAAATGTCATCCAAAGGAAGACTACTATGGCTTTAAATCTTGGGACGATTTTTTTACTCGGGAGTTTTGTGAAGGTGTTCGTCCTGTTGCTTCCCCTGATGATCCGCAAGTCATAGTGAATGCTTGTGAATCTGCTCCATATAAGATTCAGAAAAATGTGAGACGCCGAGACAGGTTCTGGATCAAATCACAGCCTTACTCCATCTACTTCATGCTTGCTAATAATGAATTAGCAGAGCAGTTTGTAGGAGGTACGGTGTACCAGGCTTTTCTCAGTGCATTCAGCTATCATCGTTGGCACAGTCCAGTTGATGGTACGATTGTTAAAGCATACGTTCAAAACGGTAGCTACTACTCTGAGGCTCAATCTGAGAAAGATGATCCAGCAGGCCCCAATTGGTCTCAGGGCTATATAACAGAAGTTGCTACCAGGGGGATCATCTTTATTGAGGCTGACAACCCAAAGATTGGTCTCATGTGTTTCATTGCTGTAGGAATGGCTGAGGTGTCAACTTGCGAGATTACCGTGTCTGAAGGAGATCAAGTACAGAAAGGCCAACAGATAGGGATGTTTCACTTTGGTGGATCCACACATTGCCTTGTGTTCCGTAAAGACGTCAATATTACCTTTGATCTTCACGGTCAGGAGAAACCTGGTTTAGATGCTAAAAATATTCCTGTAAATGCAAAGATTGCTACGGTCCAGTAAACGGACAGTTTGACTATTATATAATTATAGTTGCTGCATTAGTTTGTTTGCTATCAATATTGTAGTGTCTTATTTTTGTAGTGCAAGTCATTATTATGATGATCATTTTTGAAAATTAAGCACGAGAATTAATATTGCGCATGAGCAGATGAAGGATAAGGAGATGAAGATGTAAGGGGATCAATGTATATATTAGTAAATACAATGTATATATATTGTATATATTAGTATGAAGGATTGAATATATGCACAATTGAATAATAGGAAAACACTCAACTCTAAAATACAGTCTCATATGTACATGTACATACATGTAGGCATGGAATGAATACATAACTTGGACTACTTGAAAATTAGTCAAGACACTAAATTCGGTATTGTACATGTATAAATCACATTGTACGTGTGTAAATCTGTGCTTAAAAGGTAGGAAGGAAAATATTGGATGGGTATCGGCCAGTATTAGCTATGTTAATATCAGCTGTGGGAATATCGGCTAAAACCCAAATTGGTACATATCTAATTATTATGTGTACCTTTCCTTGACTTACTTGAAGCAGGCCTTGCATTGTTGAGAGTAGT